GGTTTTTCTCCATCCTAGTCATCAATTTGAATTGCTGTTGTAGTTTGTCTTCCTTGATTAGTGACGTGACTTTATTCCGCAACTTTCGGTACGACTCCCAGTGTTCGTCGGTCCGGTTCGTTTTATAGTGAAACCAAGCGATGTTACGTTCTGTAATCCATTTTCTTGTCTCAGTAAAATTCCTAGGCTGACCCGACGGTACTTCAGAATTGTCTGGGCATGAGTCCCGTAAAGACTTGCTTGTCTTTGTCATTCTTTCGCCCGTGCGATTGAAAACCCTATCGGCTTCACATCTGGTCATCTTGAGATTTCTATCAAACTGCCCTACGTCTTGATGCGAAAAAGAGTATGCCATCCACGTATCGGCTTTCACTGCTATAGTGCGATTATCGTTTTTGTTCGCACATCATGAATTCTTCGCTTCATCCACTCCATTCACTATTTCTAGCCTATCTGAAGCAACCGCTGGAAGAATATATGTCCCGATATCCGATAGTCAAGATTGTTCGGGCTAAGCAGCGTGAAGGCTTGATCAGGGCGCGTATGATGGGTGTACGTTCGTCCACGGCGGAAGTGCTGGTCTTCTTGGATTCGCATATCGAATGCACAAAAGGTGAGTGGAAGTAGACGATTTGGAATGTTGATTTTTCCCCATTCATATCCAAACTTGTAACACACGCTGGATCAGACTCGTGTTGCAGTTTCTAGTGGCATTTCCAGAAGAATCATATGGTACATTGCGGAACTTTAAGTACTTGAGCATTTTTGAGACGATCTAGTCGATACTCTGAAATCGGAAAGTCTCTTTATTGAATCCTATAAGTGAGAGTGTCCTTGAACCATTTCACTTATCTTTCCGACTATTTGGCTGACCGGAAACCCAAACACCTCCGGTAGCAGATTCCACTCCTTTTCTCTTTGAATCACCAAGTAGACACGAGGTCTTATGACGTCTGTGAATGAACCAACTAGTAGATTTACCGGTCTTTACGACACGAAATCCCAAGACAGGCACTTTAAGTGAATTTTACTGAGTTGCACTTTTTCACTGTCTCCAGGTTGATAATCATACTCTTTCGAAGTATGTGCTACCCTCATCGGGAGTGACGAGGTTTTTCAAATCCGAATATCGATCACAGTGCATCAGTATCGTATTTTGTAATGAATTTTCATACCACCATGGGGGGGAAGAAAAGAGGAAGTGTAGAGGCCTGGCGCCAATGAGTCCCATGCCCCTACAGAGAACGATGAAAAATGATGTGCCTACACCTTTGAACAGCATTAAAGTAGGGCACTGTCATCGGGATTGATCGACTCTCTTCGCCAACCTCACTTGACATGAGCCCAGCGCTCGTTGATAGGCTAATTTTAGCTATGCAGTCCGGCTTAGAAATAACTATATGCATACCACTGAGATCACATGCATGCCACGTCCTGCAGGGTTCCCAAGCACGTGTTACCCAGCCAGGAAGGCACTCAGTTTGACTGTACCGGTGTCGTTCTCAGAGACCAGTGGGAGATCCAGTGAGCATCAATGGAAGAGTGAGCGTTTTCGCTTCACATGCAGAGATGTAACTATCCGCCAGCACACTAATTAGCCAGCACAGTACAGGTGAGTAAACTTGGGGACTGTGAAGTCCTCATTGTAGCGTTTTTATCCTGCGTGTGACTAAAGGGTGTTCATGAAGGTCATTTCTGTGAGCCGTGAGCCCCACGGACCAACAGACATGGCACTATAAACCTTATGATTAGCTAGCTCCAGAGATAGAATTCAGGCATCTCCAACCTGGGGTAGGACCAACTCGTGCAACCAAACGGGCTGGATTATCGTGTCATTGGCCTCCAGCTCCCAACAAAACTAACAATCGGCGTCTCGTGGTTCAGATGCTAAGGGCCTTCGTACGGAACCTTGCTTTCTCCCACTACCATGTGGGTCGTACTTTCAAATCAAAGGTCTCTTCAGTCTGGTTGGACGGGAAGTATCATCCACCCTTACTTTTCTTCCTTCACGTATTTCTTCGTATGCCGTCTTCAACTAGGCGTTCCAAATTCTTTCCGTTGTCTGTCATCTAGCCACATCTCTGTTTGCAAACACCTGTAAACTGAAGCCCCCATGACTCACCTTGAGGATTTCAGAGTCCATTCGCTTGGTCACACTGAGCATCCTTTCCCAGAGTTCGCCTTGGATTGATATACGTTGCTCAAGAAGAATCCGAAGTTCTCCCACCTCACTCTTCTCTTGTCTAGTTGTTTTAATGTAGTACCTCGATTCGTCTACGACGTGGGGGTGAAATCTACTTTGAACAACCCAGATAGTTCTGCTGCATAGTTCGGCATGCACTTCACAACCCAGAAACACCAGGTCTGTGATGGTAGGGTACGCCAGATGGTTTTCAGCAAAGGCAACTCCTCTCCACCGCTTGATCAGCTGATCATAACTCGGGGGACGCTCATTCGTCAAGGGAACTGGTTTTCTGGCAAAGATATCTGTCCCAATTTTCGGGTGGAGACAACCCAGAGCGGTCAGTCCACGAGCTGGTAACCAATCCTGAAAGCTCTTAACGATGGTGTTGGAGATCGTTCAGCTGTGACGCCTTTTCGGTGCTTAGCTGCCATGCCACCAGAAGGAAGCACGGGGGCTGGGATACTGCCAGGTTGTCCAAGCCTAGACGAGGAGTTCAAAGAGGCAGTGGTCGGGTTCGAACTACGGACCTTCCGGTCAGTAAATTCGCGCTTTAATCAGAGTCATCTCGTGTTAGAGACCCTCTCCCCGGATGCTGACACAACGCTGGGACTGTGGAAAAATTGTTTGTATCCTTTAACGGTTTCGTCTAGTATCCGCAAACAACACGAAGCTCTTCATCCTCGTGTTGGTTCAGAACAGCGTCAATGCGGTACATCATTCTACTGTAGCAAAATTCGCGGTTTGGCTTAAGATTACTAGACGTCCAAAAGTCGATAGTTTCACGCGTTTTCCTTTGGTATTTCTTGTGAATGATATTATACCATCGCTGAAGCCTGGCTGTGTTGCATCGGAAATTTGTGCATCGAGTGTTCAACCAGCAAACCAAACCCAGTTTTTTCTGGACTGCTCGCGCTTTGGAAAGCTGCCAACCTGTGTTCTTTAGCCTTACCTTACCAGGAGGGTAGCGCGTCACGTGGTTCTGAATCGTCGACCAATGCGGTGGACTGACTTTTTTGGACGTTTTTGGCTTTCCCTAAGCGAACCAAACGACTGTAAATCTAGCCATCTATGCCGGAAAGCTCAGGAATACTGTACAGCTGTTTCACCCTCACAAAAGCGACTTCGTGACTTCCGGGCCAGTTACTTAGGAGACTGCTTGTGGTTTGAGGAGAAGCAGCTCTGAAGGAAAAATACTTTACTCGACGAGTGACCCTTCAATCCGAGCAGTCGTGGAGCCAGTTACCAAGAGATCACGTGATGTAGATTCCATGATAGAAGGATAGGTGCTACTGTATCCTACGTGGTAATCACACTGCTGATCAGCCGCGCGTGGATGAACGGCTTAGTGTTCCCGATTGGCGTTTTGTGAGATGCACACTGTTGATGGCTTTCTATATAAGAATAAAACAACCGTACGTGTTTCTGGGCGTTGCGGTGTGGGTCGGTTTCACTTACAGGACAAAACTTTCATTTATTTGAAGGAGCCGGTCAACTTTGAAGTTCACTGTTAGCCGAGAAACGTGTGCGCAACTGGTGTGCGCACAGTAAAGTGAGTTGAACTGTTCCATATTCGCCTGAACATACATATGACCGTTTGGTTTAATTCACTGAAGACCTTTCGCGATCTTGTCACGTGAGGCATCGTGTTATGTTGGTATGCCCGCCCTGCGCGACCTGCGACCGATCCATTCAGCTCAGTTTGTTAGGCGATATCCTACCAGATGGAGCTTATCACTTGCAGATGCTGTGCGCAGCGGCGTATCCACCCGGTTGTTCAACATAGAAATAACCAATGGCACGAGTTTAGCTGTGATACCATGACAGAAAAAATCGTCCTTTCGGCGCTTAGCTGCCATGCCACCAGAAGGAAGCATGGGTGCAGAGCAACTACCAGGCTGCCCGAGCCCAAACAGGGGAAGTCGAGAGTCAGAGGACGGGTTCGAGCCACGATCGGTAAATTCGAGCTCTCACCATTGAGCCATCTTGCCCCCTAACGTGACTAGCTCGTTTTTTTTTTAAACTAGACTGGCTTAATTAAACATCCGCGTTTAATGAAACACGTAGTCGTCAACCTGCCAACACACAGCTGGTGCACCAATCCCCTCAGCTGATTTCAACAGCAGGCCGAGCAAGTTTACAGGGGGCATAGTAGTTGCGGGTGTCCGCTGCGATTGATGAGATTTTGCTTCGCACTGTGTCAGTCATATATCTAGCTCGTTTAGGACATCGAAGGGTAAAGTGCTGTTAGGTGGCATGATCACCTGGGTTGGAACAACTGGTATAGCTCGTATAGGACATCGAAGGGTAAAGTGCTGTTAGGTGGCATGATCACCTAGGTTGGAACAACTGGTATGTTCCGGAGTCCGTAATTTGGAAGCACAATCCGTCCGGCTCGACATGGTCCTGAAACGCCTTCGGTTAAAGCAGCCTTGTGAATCCTCGAATGCTCACAGGAGCGTTTAAACTACTCTTATGTGCTGGTGAAAGACCCTTGGCCATCTATCTGGCGTACAATGTACCCTGGCCATTATAGGCGTTTGCTGGGTCAATCTGATGACACTGCATCGATCTCTAGATCCGCCCTTATTTGGTATTCACTACCACCTGTAGGCGAATCTTACCGTCTATAATGCCGATACCGCAAGGTTACTTATACCTGCCCTTGAGTAATAGTCACTCTTGGGTTGGAATCTCGTCATAAGTTCTCCGTTTTCTCGAGCCCCGAGAGCTCAGCATGTTTAGCATGTGGTGGTCCATTTTTCGCTCTGTATTGTCAATCGTTTCTACCCACACAGTGTGATTATTCCGATACCGTACCGTCGTCTGCTGACCTTGTTTTTTTCTAGAATGATACCATTCGTTTCATTTTCGGTCATTCCGATGAGTCGGTCTTAGTATCCGGGCGTCCAGTGTCGGTCCACCTTGTATCACCTTGTACAAATCGAAATCGGCCAAGCTCTGTTGACACTCTTCTGCATACCTTCTACGCATAGTTTGCCTTCACAAAATGCTCAGAATACCTGAGTGCTCTTGTTCGATATGCATCTATCGATCAACTGTTTCGATGACTTGCTACACTTTTGGAGGATTATGACTTCTGTGATTCTGTACTTTTCAAATCGTTTACGTAATTCAACAAGCAAGACCATCAGTCTGAACGTTCGATCCCACGAACTCAGCGATAACGAAGGCGAAAAATCTCGGCAGAGCTATTTCGTTCACGGTTTCCTATGGGCAGTGACCCTGGGGAACACGTTTAAGGGCAGCAAGCCGTTACAACACAGTACTGTCCAGTCCATGTCGCTCACACGTCACGGAAACCCATTGTGGTAACAGTGCAGGTCAAAGTTTGTTTACCAGCATCAATTAGGGGTGTATTTTACCGGATCGGTGTCGTGTGAAAAATAGACTGTGAAAAAATGACTCGCTTGGGTACTCATGTTACCCGTACTGGCTAGTCATTTCAAATAACACAACCTTTCACACGTTTTCATCATGAAAACTACCTCGAAACTATGAGAAACAAAGGCATGAGATGTTCAAACCATGGATAAAAAAGTAATCGCATGTGTTTCGAAACATAGTATTTGTCTAATGTTATTCCTGAGATAACACGTCAACACTTTCACTGTCGTTCATGAATATCACTGATTCGGTCTTGACTGCACCCCCCATGAAATTTGTTTTTCAAGATTCGTGTAATCCAGGGCAAAGGTAGGAAAGAACCGAACCGTGGATTCGTATGTCCCTTGTACATCATCGACAACATGACATCAGTGTTCAATACCGACACTTCGCTGTCGTACAACCATGATTTGGTTGAACGCCTTACTGTAAAGAAAAGAGTAAAGGTGGACGGGGAAGGGACTTAGTGCTAGCTTACCACAATCATTCCGAGGTGCCTACACCTCCAGACATTCACTCAGGCANCGTTGCACAACCGAAAACGCGTTTTCTAATTGCCGCATTAAGGATTCGCCGACACCAACTCACACGAGCTGTGGTCGTAAGACAACAATTGTCGAACACCTGAAAACGTCTCAGTTCCGCTGCTCGAACAGGCCAAGTCTCAGCCATACAACAAAACAACCCACACTTTAGCTTGATACACACTTTTCTTGAGATTCAGGGATACACGTTGTTACAAGAGATAAAATGACTTCGGAAACGGATACATGAGAGAAACAATTGGCTTGCTTACTCAAAGTCTTAGAGAAATTCTCTAGTCTTCTCAGCGATATGCGCTCAGTGTTTCTCGCTCAGAAGAGTTTTTTGCGAGCATTTACTGTCACTCAGAACACGAGTCCAACACACCCTAGTGGGCCTGTCGAAACAACATATAGGGATTCAGCTGGGATTCTCTCAGGTCCTCCGTAAAAACCAGATCCACATGCAAATGAGTGTACTTCGCCAAATTCGAGCAACTTAGGTTGACGGAGACCGGGGTACCGATGAGCCTTTAGAAGGGCGAAAGCTGTCGCGGGCTGCGAGAGTTTTCAGCAACCTTATGAGTAGTGTGCCTCATCTGTACAATGTATCACGATACTGGCATATCAACTGAAACTTGAGGTGGCCTGATGCAACGCATACAATAGAAGAGGAACATCATGAACAAGGGATACTGTTGGGTCTCCCGTTGAATCCAAATTCATATGCAAATGAGTGTATTTTGCAACACAGAGGATATTCACCTAGCAGCGGAATACTCTCATGTACGTCTGTACGGGAAGTCAGTCGAACTCAATTAGTGTCCGTTAACGTTCATTGCTGAGCTACGCGGTCAGTTGTTTCCAACCATGGTTTTATCCATCTGAGGAATAAACAAAACAGAGAACAACTGGGCCACCACAGAAAAATTGAAATTTTCCCCCTGTGTGCATCAAAAGGACCACGGTTATTCATCAGAAGCTTTCGGACGTGACTAGCTTTTGCACGCTCTCAGTTCGGATTCATTATCTCAATAATTTGTCTGACAATTCCGTTCAGTTGTTGCTGTTTGATTCACGTGGTAAAACCGTCTACTCAACTGATTTGGGGCTCCCTTCGAATAAGTTGTCACTTCTATTTCACCGCTGAATTGGTTGTACAGAGTGAAGCATCAGTGCTGAACACGGAGGACGTACTGTCCTTGATGGTGATAGCATTCAGACATTTTGGTGTGTGAATTTCTGTACAGTGACTGTAAAAGCTTCTAGAATGGTTCAGCTGTAGCACCCCTTCGATGCCCAGCTGCCATGCCACCCAGAGAAATCACGAGGGCTAAGATACTTCCAAGTTGCCCAAGCCTAAATAAGAGCAGCCGAGATGCAGAGGTCGGGTTCAAACCACGGACCTTCCGGTCAGTATGTTCGCGCCTTAACTACTAAGCCATCCCGCCTGATAATTGTCCCCCGGTGGGCAGAAATAAAAAAGTGGAACTCGTGATCGTATCTTGCATTTATGGTCAGCTTTTAGGTAACACGTCAAGGAGCAAGGGACAGACGAATTAGATTTACAATCGCAGGAGAGTGGAAGACAAGTCAAGACAACTGTTTGCATTACCAAGTCTTTCAATGTGACAACTTGTCTGCTCAGCCACACGAAAAGACATTCCAACTATCGTTGACGATGCTTTCGCATTCTTCCTCAGAGAGTACCGCTTGAGATATGGTTTGGGTATCTTATATCTCGCTCACTGACGCGGTCGAATTTCGCGTGAAGTCACAATTCCGGAAGCCACCCTGGTTTGGTTTCATCAGTAAATTGAGTCGAATGTGGTGCAGCGCTACTGCAATGTTCGATCTCAGTCAATCTAGTTTGTCTGCCAAGGGGCGCGGTCAGTTGTTTCCAACCATGGTTTTATCCATCTGAGGAATAAACAAAACAGAGAACAACTGGGCCACCACAGAAAAATTGAAATTTTCCCCCTGTGTGCATCAAAAGGACCACGGTTATTCATCAGAAGCTTTCGGACGTGACTAGCTTTTGCACGCTCTCAGTTCGGATTCATTATCTCAATAATTTGTCTGACAATTCCGTTCAGTTGTTGCTGTTTGATTCACGTGGTAAAACCGTCTACTCAACTGATTTGGGGCTCCCTTCGAATAAGTTGTCACTTCTATTTCACCGCTGAATTGGTTGTACAGAGTGAAGCATCAGTGCTGAACACGGAGGACGTACTGTCCTTGATGGTGATAGCATTCAGACATTTTGGTGTGTGAATTTCTGTACAGTGACTGTAAAAGCTTCTAGAATGGTTCAGCTGTAGCACCCCTTCGATGCCCAGCTGCCATGCCACCCAGAGAAATCACGAGGGCTAAGATACTTCCAAGTTGCCCAAGCCTAAATAAGAGCAGCCGAGATGCAGAGGTCGGGTTCAAACCACGGACCTTCCGGTCAGTATGTTCGCGCCTTAACTACTAAGCCATCCCGCCTGATAATTGTCCCCCGGTGGGCAGAAATAAAAAAGTGGAACTCGTGATCGTATCTTGCATTTATGGTCAGCTTTTAGGTAACACGTCAAGGAGCAAGGGACAGACGAATTAGATTTACAATCGCAGGAGAGTGGAAGACAAGTCAAGACAACTGTTTGCATTACCAAGTCTTTCAATGTGACAACTTGTCTGCTCAGCCACACGAAAAGACATTCCAACTATCGTTGACGATGCTTTCGCATTCTTCCTCAGAGAGTACCGCTTGAGATATGGTTTGGGTATCTTATATCTCGCTCACTGACGCGGTCGAATTTCGCGTGAAGTCACAATTCCGGAAGCCACCCTGGTTTGGTTTCATCAGTAAATTGAGTCGAATGTGGTGCAGCGCTACTGCAATGTTCGATCTCAGTCAATCTAGTTTGTCTGCCAAGGGGAAAAATTTCCAAGCCTATGCAACCACGCTTGATAGCGGCAAAAAACTCACGCGGGTGGTTTTTCCTCTATGAGCAGACATCAGTGGTGGTGAACTCATCCTGACGCTTGGCTTCCAGGAAGTCCGATCTCCCGACGGTTGTCTGTATTCACGTATAGTTCCACTATACCGTTTTATCGCTCCGAAACTATTTTCACAGAGCGTGTAGGTATTTTTAGGTTTTTCTTTTATGGTGACAAAAATATCTCCCAGCAGCCGCCTTCTGTTTGTCGAGCAAGAATCGTTTGAGATCCTTGTTACTGCATGCATCTGGATTCCAGACGCAAATATTTGTTTTGAATTTTTCGCCTAAATACTGTGGAGTTTGGTGCGTTGTGTGTGTTTAAAACAACTTTTCAATCAATATCATTCATATTTTCATGCACATCCATTTCTATGAAACAGGTTGGTTGGAACCATTACTGGATCGAATCAGAGAAAGTGAAACCAACGTTGTTGTCCCCATCATTGAAGTGATTAGCGATAAAACGCTTCAGTACAACAATGCGCGTGCCGGAAGTGTGCAGGTCGGTGGATTCGATTGGAATCTGATTTTCCATTGGCATTCGCCACCGAAGCGTGATAAAGAACGACCTGGAGCTCCGTATTCCCCGTTGAGGTAATTTTACGAACCGCGGGTAGTTCTGGCCTCGATCTTGCTGTGATTTACATTGTCTAATGACTCGCGTTACACGGGGGCCTGTCAGTGCGTTCTTAACTACATAAGAGTTCTTCCCTTTTCCTCCTTAGTATCGGTGATACTATAGCAGCGACTTATGACCGAGTATCCAATCTGAGTTGAAATTAGCCAACGACGCACCGTTCGGTCGTGTAGTACGGGTCCCGAGCAAAATGGCGATGATCTTTCAAGAACCCCCCAGTTCTTCCCTTTTCCTCCTTAGTATCGGTGATACTATAGCAGCGACTTATGACCGAGTATCCAATCTGAGTTGAAATTAGCCAACGACGCACCGTTCGGTCGTGTAGTACGGGTCCCGAGCAAAATGGCGATGATCTTTCAGTTGTAGAACCCCCCATACGGTGCATAGCTGCCATCCAACCCAAAATTAACTCAGTATCAGGATGAGTGACATGAACTGAATATGCACCTCCCCCCTGTCGAGCGAACACTTCTAAGAACTGACCGGTTTGGCCGCCTCCAGTGATTTAAGAAAACTAAGGAGTACAAAACATCTTTTGGAATTTCCAGAATGCCTTTTGATTAATGTAACCATTGAGGTCGCCATGTAGCAAATGTTTTTGCTCCAGATCTTTCCTACCTTGGTTGAACTGATGTCAGGGAGATGAAAGCTGCATTCAATGGAACTGGGATGCAAACTAACCAGTATATGCAAAAATGCATAGTACGACGATGCCTTATAAATGAACGAGCTACTCTTGCTTCTCACCAAGACATCTCCCGAGTTCTTCCTATCCAAATGTCTCAAGTGGTTAGAGCGCGAATTTACTGACCGGAAGGTCCGTGGTTCGAACCCGACCTCTGCCTATCGACTTCCACTGTCTTGGGCAACCTGGCAGTATCCCAGCTTTCGTGCTTCTTTTGGGTAGCATTCACAACAGTCACAGCAACCGCATAAACACATTTAAACAATCTTAATCTACCTCGAATCAACCTGTAAGATAATTCCGATCCATCAGCGCTACCTGCTCTATCGTGTCTGGCGTCTGATTTGCAGTCTTGGTACGATCCTCCTCAACTACGTGATGGTCCTCAGTTTGTCGATAGCCTGCAATGGGTACGTCAATTTGCAATTGACTTTTGTTCGACAAAAACACACCTCAGTTTGTCGATAGCCTGCAATGGGTACTTTTGTTCGACAAAAACACATGCATCTCCAGGCGCACCGAACACAATTGAAGTTAGGTACCTGAATCGATTTATCACCTTTTCTGAAAATCATATTCAACCCACTGATCGTTTCATGTGTGTTTGTGAGCTAGGAGTCTAATTTTTGCGCATAAAAGTCAACCAAGGTTTGTCGAGTCTGTTAAGAGTATGAACTATTGTGATCAGTCTGATTCTCAACCTACGAGCGTGCAAGCCGATGGCGTGATTGTACCTGGCAAATATGTGGCACCAAACAAACCCACTCATATCAGACTGTCACAGCGAATTATTCTGTGGATTTCTTGACACTTTTGTAGGCTGAACGATTAAGACGGGTAGATGGCCTAACCTAAAATAAAAATAAATACATCGTTCAGCTGTAGCACCCTTTTAGCGCCTAACTGCCATGCCACGCATAGGAGGTACGAGTGTCGGAATACCGCCAGGTTGCCCAAGCCTAGACAGGGAAGTCGAGAGGTAGAAGTCGGGTTCGAACCACGGACCTTCTGGTTTGTAAATTCGCGCTCTAACCACTTGAGCCATCTCGCCCCCATGTTAGCCTAACCTACCTGACTGACCATTCGTAGCGACCAACCTCGGCGAGTCCAAGAAACAGTGTAATATCACATCTACAGTTTCTCTCTAGATTTTTCACCTTTCCGCTTCCTATAGTTCTCCCTATTTGCTTTATAGCTATCTCCTGTAACGGGACGGCTAGCTTTGAAAGACATCTTGTATGGCTGCCAATCAGAAGAGGCGACCGGTGGCCATGTCTACGAGATTACTAGATTACATAGAGCCCGAGCTGTCTCTGACATCGTTTTCATGATAAGGGCCTATCAAGGGATACAAATGGATAGTGACAATAGCCGAGATTGTTGTCCGCTCAGTGGTCCTCTAACAATTATTGTGTTTACCTGTCGGATTAATCACGGCAACGCGTGGTCGAATACGCCATCCACCTGTGTTCAGTGCTTCTGAGTTGTCCAATGACAACTCTGTTTTACAGACTGTTGAAAACCTTCACAAGCTTTGACCTTTTTGACCGTGAGGCCGGTGTGAGAGGCATGCAATCCCATGCCCTACGGTTGGAGACCCGCTTTTTTAATTTCCATGTGACCATTTAGTACAAAGTTGGATGTTTTTGCTTACCATATCCGATTTCAACAAAGACTTAGGGGGGAATAATGGCTGCGACCCGTGGCGTTCATGACTAGCTCAAGCTGGATGTTTTTAGAACCTTTTTACAGGCATACATAGCCATCTAACATGCCAACGTTTGGAGAGCCGCCCGCCTCTATTTTATTGAGCAAAGTCTTAACCCAGATTTCCAGCCTGCCGCAATGATTATGGAGGGGTCAACTTCCATTTCTCGTGGTTGTCTGTACAACTGCCGGCTGACCATTCTACACGCATGGGTCGCCATCGAACTCATGAACCACTCACGTCCATCAGTAAAAATTCAGTTACTCTGCTGTACCAGCTTTTCAATGCCCAGCTATCGTGCCCGTCGAAGAAGGCATGAAGGTTCAGATCCTGCCAAGCTGTCGTTGCCTAGTCAGGAGCGATCGAGATGCCGGGGCGGGGTTCGAACCACGGGAATTTTCTCTGAGCAAGCTCGTGTCCTAACCGTTGAACTAGGTTGAGCTCCCAGCATCCATCGGTAGTAGTTGAATGCAAAGTGGCTGAAATATAAAGCAATCACCAACGTATTTTATCGCGGTTTCATCACGCTATATTTGTTTGAAGCCAAACTACCTCACACTTGGAAGTGGCTATCTGAAAAGGCACCTCTTGGGTTACCGACTTGCGAATCCATCCGTTCAATGCTTCACCTTGTTGGCTCAGTTTAGGACTGCTCGTTCACCTAGTATATCAGGTGAGATTCAGTCCGGCAAAGGTGTGTAAATTTAGTTCCGGGCACAGAAATCTGTCCGGTGCTATCCAAAAACAGTGATATAGCCTATGTTTAAACCAGTTAGACATGAACACTTCACTTGAATCTGCTTGTAACACTTGGTGAGAACTTATGAATTCTGATGTGTGTGTCTATTTGTGGACACCTGCCGTGAAAGCACTCGTCTTAAGTCCGTGCACCTGTTGAAACAGCCGTTATTTCGTCTGAAACATCTGTACGATACGCCATCAGTAAAATGTAAGGTTACATTCTCACGCTTTTTTTCTGAAAAAAAAACCGGTTAGACTCGGTGCAATGACAGCGCGGGGGGGGGGGNGTTACATTCTCACGCTTTTTTTCTGAAAAAAAAAACCGGTTAGACTCGGTGCAATGATAGCGCAGGGGGGGGGTTGGTTGCACCACGTGTGTCGCCTTAAGTCCAGCAGACCGTCTTGGTTTTGGCTCGACCAATCACTATTCCCCCTGCTGCGCGGCTATTTTCACTTCGATGACTCCACGCATTATGACACCACTGTAGTCTGAATACTGGATAGCTGTGTCTGGTATGTCAACTAGTGAATGTTTCATCTTCACCCAGATCCTCTCGTGCCCTACTCTTGGTGGCAACAAAACATGCTCTTGTGGTTAAGGTGCAATTCGGTTGGTCGGTTTTGAGACAAACAGCTTGAGGCACAACCACCGACCAATCGCTATGCTCCCTAACAAAGTACTGATGATGTCTCCTCGGTTAGCGATAAAACGTTTGCAATAAAATTGTCCAGCTCAGCGAACAAACCGCATTTAGATAAGGTGGAGTTTGAGCTCGGTACAATATTCTTCCGCTCTGCGACGCTTCCTGTCCACATAGACTAACTTGGAACCTGGAAACATCAAAACCGAGAGATTCAGCTGGGTTCTAGGTGAGTCTCTCGAATAACCAAATTAGTTTGCAAACGAGTGTATATTAGCTGATTTCGTGCAATTTGGTTTCAAGTAGAACATTGGTTGACGGAAATTCGGGGACTGCGCCTACTTGATGAGACCCAAGGAGGGCGAAACCGGTCGTGGGCTGTCGAGGAGTTTTCAGCAACCTTATGAGTATTACAAAAAAATGGACTTGAGTCGTTCTGCTGTGTCACATCTTGGCACATAAGTGCTGTGCATCTTAAAGGAAGAAGAGTTTACATGGAACCTCGTGCTCAACAGAAACAGTCAACAAGCTGTGGCTGGTTCCTCGGTGGGCTCAAGCCCTAATCACCCAGGTTGGGTTGAGCTCCTCCATCTACTTGGTTCGATTTCCTTGAGATATTATGCCTCATGTTTCTCCGTCCGATGAAGGAACAATCCAAACTTCATTCTGGTCACTTCCTTCTTTTAACGTTTCTTAAGGATTTACACTAGTCCCTTCCGAGCTTAGGCGTCATTCATTTTGAAGAAAGTACGAGGACCCTCGAAAGAAAGGTCAGGGTTTGATCAGAACCACGGATCTTTTGCTGAGTTACCTATGACCCATGAGGAAGTTGTTCAATTTCGTCACCGGAACTTACTAATCAAGACTGCGTTGTGTCCGTTTTAGCGTTATGTCAGTCGTTTTCATAAGCGAGCAGGGGACCCGAACACGTTTCGGATAAAGTCGCGATTCTAATGCTAGATTGCCGGACTTTGTCACTTTATTTCCACTTTTTACCACTTTCAACTGCAACTAGGGTTTTTCCCCGATTGTGCGTTGACTGCTGCTCAGTGCTTCCAGTGTCATTCCTTTCGAGTACCAAATATCTCTGTCTTTTACACTTTCAACTGCAACTAGGGTTTTTCCCCGATTGTGCGTTGACTGCTGCTCAGTGCTTCCAGTGTCATTCCTTTCGAGTACCAA